GACTGCCTATAGTTCCTCTATTAGTGATTTCCAAAAAGTCCATAAAATCCAAAGATACGCATACGTAGAACAAATCCTCTGATACTAACAGAATTAAAGTTAGCTGTAACAAGTTCCATTCATTTCAAAAGGTCTACTCTAGGTACAACTAACATTGGATTTAACTAAAGGTCATATGAACAGTCTTTCATTCACACAAAAAGACTTCCCCTTTCCCCACTTCCAAACCCATTTCAGAGCAGATGGGTTTGTGTGCAGGAGAATCTATTCTGACAGTGAAGACAGTTCCAAATATTTTACTTCCAGAAGAATTTTCTTTACAGAAAGGCTGGCATTTTAAAAGCATCTAAAGCAAATCAATATTTTTTTCATTACACAAGAAACAGATAATCATTTTTGAATGAGAAACTGCATTGTAATTCCAGATGGAGAATACTTTCGACAAAATATAATTGCTTACATACACTTGGTAACTGGAAACTTTTTATTTGTGAAGTGTTACTGAGAAAGACCACCGACATCTGTTTGCAAGAGCACATTCCACACATAACCATTATGGCAAATGTAGGATGGGGGGGGATCCTCATTTGCCAATATATGTTTATTCAGGGTACTTTCAGGTTCACAAATTAGAGCACAAGATTCTTTTAAAAACCATACACTTGGGTGAAAGGGTAAGATGTCAAAATGATAAAAACCAACTTTGAAAATGGGAGGAAAAATTGGACAGGTATACAGAGATGTTCAATAGGCACAGATGTTTTAGCTGGAAATATCAGAAGGAGCCCAGAACAGAGGTTATGAAATGCAGAAAACAAAATTCTCTCTCTAAGGATCTAAAGTTCCTGTGCTTCCTGCTGAATTTAGAGGAGTTTTCCCTTCACTTTAAAAGTCATGCTGTGTTCACTGATTACATATCTTAAAACTTGACTAATTAATCACTTTATATGAAAAACAGTAATAAAATGTAATGACCTGGAGATCATTTTAAATTCAAAGTCAAAAACATAAAATGGGCATAGTGTTTTCTCCATTAAAGTTTTGCTCTGTATGTGGAAATAAATGTTAATTAAATACATAAAATAGTGAGAAGGATTGTTTTTGTTTGTTTCTGCCAGAGGTATGTCAAGTAGCCAACTAATCAATGCACCAATAAGTTAGCTGTTGCAAAATGGCAGGACAATGTATGGTTGCTGCTGCATTCCAAGGATCAAATCTGGTACTACCTTTGAAATATACTTTACAGCAGGGGTCCCCAACTTTTTGTGATATGGACTGGTTGGGGTGTATGGGCTCTGTGTGCGGTGACACACCCCCTGCTTTAGAGCACCCTATAGAAGTAAAGTGTGCCTAAACAACTGAGGAAACCAATGAGTTTACCAGTACCAAACATATTAATGAAAGTAGCTGCACATAAGTAGACCTGTCCCAGCACCCCCAGATGTGACTAGAGCACCAGCTAACCCTCTCTTGCAGAACGCAAAGCCTGTCCCCATCTCCAAACGTGACAAGAAGGCCAGCCAGGTGTCTTGATAGTTGGCACACCCAAAGCCGGTCCTGGCATCCCGAACGTGCCAAGAGGGCCAGCCTGTCTCAGCCCCCCCGAAACCTCCAAGGCCTATCTTTATCATATCCAGGCAGTCTCAGTAGCCAAGTTGCAACACCCACCCAGCTTTCTAGTTCTAAACAAGCATCTTTGTTTGTTTGAAGGTTGTCAGCAAGTCTAGTTAGATGTTGGTGGTGAGTGACAGGTGAGTTTCCTAGGCCTGTCTCAGACCCACCCAAAGCCTGTCCAGGCATCACCCCATCGCACGGCTTCAGATTGCAGAGCATCTGTTTCCGACCGCCCTGCGGCCCCGCGAATCAATCGCCGTTAGTAGCACCAAGCTTGGACCCTTTTCTCCTGTGTGGTGGTGCTACTGATTCCCCAATAGCCGGGCTCTGCCCCCCAAGCCTGTCTGGGCGTCCCTGTACCAAGATGGACAAGAACAGCAACAACAACAGCAGCACCTATAATAAGCCCAGTGGCTCAGCAGCGCTGCAATTTAACCCGCAGTGCCGCTGTCTACCTTGCTGCCAACTTCCTCAGTGCCTGTTTGGTCCACTCCAAAAGTCTACACTGCTGGCTACATGACAACTTTCTGAGTCCTGCAGGTCCTTCCACTTCCCAAAGGCCTGTGTGCTCATTCCAACTTCCTCAGGTTTGATTCTCAAATGCTGCTTGCTGATTTCAGCATCCTACCCACCTCGGATGTCCCCGTGCCAAGAAAGCCAGGTTCAGCCCCACCCAAACCTGACCAATGTGCTCCCTCCTCCTGAGATGTGCTGTGTGTGACATGTCCCTCCCTATCTCCAGGATCAGAATCCGCTGACCGATTTATTCTGAAAAATCTCAGAAATGCATATTTATACGTATTTCATGATTCCAGCTTCCTTGGGCTTCATTCTAATTATTAACGCCTGTTCATTCTGGCCTCCTGGCCTTCTCTACTGCCCCAGAAGGCTGGCAGAAGCTGGGTGAAAAGCGATGGGACATAGCTCACTGTCGCATGGATTCAAACTTCAGTGCTGATCTTCTGATGGACAAGCCCAGTGGCTCAGCGGTTTAACCCGCAGTGCCACAATCTATGTTGCTGCTATGTGCAACCTGTGCGGGCATCCCCACATCTCGCTGGGCATCAATTCCAGCCTCCTTGGGCCATGTTGGCCCCAAATCCTGTATCCCTCTCCAGTTGCCTTGGGCTTGCCTGCTGATGATTCTGTGCCAAGAATTGGGCCAAGGGCCTTCCAAATCTTGACTGCTGGATGAAGTTGGCTCATCGGGCCAGGTTCTTCTTTCCAGCCTGCCTGCTTATTCAAAGGGCTACATTAGTGCTCCAAAGTCCACTCAGGCTTCATTCCTAATTCCTGGCTGTTCATTCCAGCTTCCTACTGCCTCAGGTAGGCAAAACCTGGAACAAAGTACAGGAGCTCAGCTCACCCCGTTGCATGGATTTGATCTTCCTCTCAAGAAGCCCAGCGGCCCTGTGGATTAAGCACTGTTACGTTAGTAGCACCACCCTATTCATCTGTTGTTGTGCAACCTCAGTTGCCTCCTGGGGGCAAACTTAGCTATGGAGGGAAATGTGATGTTCCCAAAGAAGGCAAGAGTCTGCTTTCAAGCCTGTCTGGGCATCTAAGCGCCAACCAGGCCTGTCTCAAGCCCCCCCCCCCCAAGCCTGTCCGGGCATCCCCTGTGCCAAAGAGGGCCTGTCTCAGGCCCACCCAAAACTGGCAGACTATTCATTCCAGCTTCCTAGCTGTTCTACAGCCTCAGTAGGTAGGCAGAACTTGGAACAAACTACAGGAGCTCAGCTCACCAGCAGCCCTGCAATGGGGAAAGACATGATACTTTGCTGCTGCCAACTACCTCAGTGCCCGATGCAGCCAAAAAAGCCTGCTTTCCTGCTGCCTTTTCAGCTCACCAGCGGCCCCGCAATGGGACAAGACATGGTACTTTGCTGCTGCCAACTACCTTAGTGCCCGATGCAGCAAAAAAAGCCTGCTTTCCTGCTGCCTTTTCCCTCAGTGCCCGATGGGACAAAAAGAGAGCCTGCTTTCCTCCTGCCGACTTCCTCAGTGCCCCGATGGGGCCAAAAAAGCCCAAAAGAACCTGCTTTCCTGCTGCCTTTTCCCTATAGCTGAATCCTCACTGTTGGCTTTCAGGAAATGATCCCCCTTCCCCACAAATGTGTGAACAAAACTTGACTTGCCATTTTTCCAGCGTAGCTATCTGCAGGTCACTACAGAGTAGTCATCTTGATTGAAACCAGCTCATAAGCTTGTCACATAGTATTTTGCCTGGGCAATACTATTCCAAAGTTTTTGTGGGGGAGAAAAAAGGATTGCCCTAAGCAGCACAAATCACATTTGTGATCATTTCACTCTTCCCCATAACTGAACAAAGCTAAAGATTTTTGGAGCCTACTTTCATTTTACTTGGGGAGCCCCTAAAGTAACCCATAAAGAGAAAGGTGCTGCTAGAACAGCACTGACCCTGAATTTAGTCACAAACAGGGAAAGGATTGGCATAAGACATTTTCCTGCCAGAGGCAAAGCAATAAGTGGCACTGTTCTGTCAAGTTAAAGTACACAGTAATGAAGGCCAGAAAAAGGAGTGGCACTGTTCTGTCAAAGTACACAGTAATGAAGGCCAGAAAAAGCCCACATGCATCCATCCCCTTGGTTGACAGCAAAAATACAGTGGGTCAAAATCCAACATGATCCTCAAATATATCATGTAACTTTCTTCCCTTCTCCTCCCCAATCCTGTGCAGCTCTAGTCAACTCCCACAACTTGTCTCTGAAGGATTTCCCAGCTCTCCAGATGTATTTTTTAGGATGCTCATGGAATGTGAAGGAGATATTCCCGCCTTCCCTTACCGTTAGATTCTACTACTGTACAACAGTAAAGCATTATGTAACAATTCATCTGCTGCCATTTCAAGGCACCCTAATTATCTGCCGAATGAAGTCTCGCTCTTCATTAAAGATCAGTAATGATTTCCAACTTAGCTATGTTTTCTTTTGAAAACAGTTTCCAGATAAGGAGTTCTAACACTACCAGCACTAAACTGAAATAATATGTTGCAGTTTCTTGTATGGTGTAGTTGAATATCAAAAATACATCCTGTTTCCTCACCACTACCTAAATCTCTGCTTGCTTGTATATCCCATGCCATTTTCCTTCTTCTCTCAGCTGACACCTTTATTATATATACTTAGTATAATACAGATTTCGCGTAGAGTATGTATTACAGCTATAGAGCATCAACAATAGCTGTTGATTAAATTAAACACATTAAATGCAAACATTATATATACACACTATTTATATGCACACCATACTTTTGAAACTGTTATTATTAGTATGTTTGGGTTTCCTTACACATTCAGTAAACTGGCGCTTCCCCCCGCCCCCGGTACAGATCACCTCCAATAAATTATTTATTACAACTTACTTCGAATCTGCTTTTTTATTTCCTTGGCTGGGTCCAACCAATTCTGAAAAGAAGCATTTTAAATATAGGAATCAGACATACAGTTTGTTTAAAAAGGCATATTAAGTAAAAAATGGAGCAAATCAATTTGGAGTTAAATACTTTAAAGCTCTGTTAAGTGCAAAGAAAAAGCATAAACTTAAAACGCTCAGTAAAAACAATGGGGCCCAAAGCACTCAACTTTGTCTGATTCATGTTCTGTTGTCCTAAATTTAGAAACAAAAGTCTCCAGTAATATGCTAATAATTACTATGGCTGAAGTCCAGAGAGACCTTTGCCCATTACTATATGTTACAGAAGAGAATCCTTAATATTGAAAATTATTTTTAATTTCTGACATCGACAGCAAATCAGAAAGCGGAAGATCAGTCCCAGTGTGGATTTTTTTAATGGATGTGGCCTCTCTTGGAACAGGATCATCAGAATTAACAGGCTAATGAAGAGTATCAGCTTACTCACACAAGTTAGGAAGCAAATGTAATGACATGTTCACTTTTATGTTGTGTCGCTTTGGGTGGGCTACAGTGAGGAAACTGATATTTCAAAGAGACAGCACTAACCATAAGAATCACAGAAGTGCACTTGTTAGCATAAATTGTTGTTCTCTTGAATCATCCACCCAACAATTTCCACAACACAGAGTTCTGTTCTTCTACAATAGTATGAGCTCTTTTCTGACCTCAGTGCATGTTCTAAGTCTGGGCTATCTGCTCTTACCTACTGTAATACAAGATGTACTGTGCCGAACCCTACATACAGGCTGCAGAGAGGCAAAGGGGCATTGGCTCATGAATTCTTAGCAGTTTTGTGTCTTATGCACCTTCACTGCAGATAACACACATTCAAAAGCCCTGAAGCTATATGTGTTAGGACCAACTTAAAAGTAATGCCAAAGTAATGAGAGACTTCAGGGTAAACTGGTAAACATAATACATGAGACTACGTATCACAGCATTAACCTTAACTTGCATCAAGGAAACATCTGTAGCTAGAGTTCTAATTTATTTTTGAAATCTCTGTGGGTCTGAATAAAGAACAAAAATTATCGCATCATATATGAGTGGTTCAGTGAACTGTATCCTAGTTTATAATGTCAACCATTTTAAAATTAGATGCAATTACACTTTTGCAGGGAAGAATCATTTCTGAACTTCTAACAAACAACAAGTTTCAAATGCCATCTCAATCTTACTGATTTCAGCTGCTATTTAATATTCTTATTTCTTTCCTCCATTCCCAATAGATTTTTAAAATTCTTGGCTAATTTTACCTTTTGGTTTTCCATGTCCCTATATGTGAGCCCAAAGTAGTCTTTCTCCAAGAGGTTCAAGTGTTCACACACTTTGTCAAACAGCACTTGGCCCTTGGAGCGTTTCTACAAGAAAAGAGAGAGAAAGAGAAAGGAGAGAGAAGAAAAGGAAATGTTTAAGAGTTTCAAAAATAAAAGACTCTGAAAATCAATACAGTTCTTGGGAGCTAGGTAACAAACACTGTAGACAACTAAAAGCATGAACGATGTTACTGAACAAACGTTGGTGGATTATGAAATTTATTGTCTTCATTGTTTTAAATGTGTATTGACTTGAAATATAAATGGATGGAGTCCAATGTTTTCATTCAGCTGATGAAGCAACTTCCATGAACAGAAATGGAAAAGCAAATTCTCTTCAAAGCATAACCCCTTCTGCACGTCCCCAAAACCTACTCAGGAGGACTGGAAAACTCATCAGAGCCAGGTTTGGGAAGTGCAAAGGCCTACAGTGGAGCAAAGAGTTATTTCCTAATGGATATCCAGTACTGTGATGTTTCATTTTGAGACCACTAAGAGGAAAGGTGATCCCAAAACATGACATAAATGCATAAGCACACACAAAGCTTTTCTGCACTTTTTCAGCCTTCCATTCTGTCAGTCAAGTATCTGTATCAGCAAAGACAAACGGAAGCTGAAGCATAAGGAGTGTTGGGACATATATACCTAAACATTTATCTGGCTCAGGAAAATAAGTCCAAATAGTGCTATTTGCATCTTTTTGCATGCGCATTATAAAAATACATATATTGTCACTTAAAACATTAGGCAAGGTAAAAAAAAATCAGACATTTCAACAGCCAGATCTGCAGTCTTGCACAGCTGTCTGCTTTAATGAAGAACAATAAACAACTGCTGTTTAAATTAAGTTGCTTTCCAGGAGAACTGGAGAAGCCAAGCACTTAACTGAGAAACATACATTCGTTCAAGATTTATGTACAGCAGGTAATCAAAACTCTAAAATAGCAGTTTCTCCTCAACATATTAAAAATTCTCTTATCAATATATTTTCCACAATATATTTTCTATATTCACAGATGTATCTGATAGGGATACAGGAGAGGGCCTTTGCTGTTGCTGCTCCCAGACTTTGGAACTCTCTCACACAGGAAGTCAGAACGGCCCCATTTTTGCTGTCCTTCCCCAAACAGGCAAGAACCTTTCTCTTCAGGCTGCCTTTCCTTAGTACCTAGTCACCTGTGTATGATTTTTAGATGGATTGTTATGCATTACTGCAATGACTGGAGTTTTAGTATTACTTGTGTTTTCCATTTCTCAGAGTGGTATTTTAAAAATATATTAAAAATATTTGTATATTTATTGCTCTTTGCTTTAATATTGCCTTTTAATGATGTAAGATGCCTCTTTATACTCATTTTTCTTAGTTTTACATATTGTCTTAATGAAGTTAACCACCATTGTATACTTATTGTTTTCCAACTTTAAATACAGTGGTACCTCGCACAACGAGTGCCTCACACAACGATGAATTCACACAACGATGCCTTTTTCTGTTAAATTTGCTGCCTCACACAGCGATGTTTCCTATGGGGGATTTTCACACAACGATCTCCCTTTTCGCTCCTGTAAAAGTGTCTTACAATGTTTGGACGCTGTTTTAAATGATTGCAATGGTTAGTCCACCTCCTGAAACCTACGCAAACTGATTTTGGTGTTGTTCTGACACTTCGTTAATTTATGATGATTTTTTGAATTTTCTCCATTGGAAACCATTGGATGGTCTGTTTCAATGCATTCCTATGAGAAATGGTGTTTCACAGAACGATGTTTCACACAACGTTGATTTTTTTGGAACCAATTAACATCGTTGTGTGAGGCACCACTGTATTGTCTTTCAATGTTGTAAGCTGCCTTGGGTCATTTTCAAGGAGAAAGGGGGAGTGTAAAATATTTTAAATAAAATAAAATAAAGATAAGATAGATAGACAGACAGACAGACAGATAGATAGAGTGCATTTTTTTTAACTCCAGCTTAATCAGACAAGATCCATATTGAGTAATGTAACAATAATCACCATGTGCCTTCAAGTCAATTCCAACTTATGGTGACCCCTTCTAGGGTCTTCTAGGTATAAAGTACTTAGCAGTGTTTTACCAATCCACCATTCTGGGACTGTGTAGCTTGCCTGAGGCAACACTGGCTGGCTCTTCTCCCAGCCACACATATCTTTTAATAGGAGTCTTGTTTAAACAGTAAATCAATAGAACCAATAGGGTTACACTCCAATCAGTTATTCTCTCTGCTAGCATTACTAATCAAAACCTGGTCTGAAGTCAACAATCTGGCAAGAGACCAATTCTACTTTTCAAAAACTATCCTGAGACAATGAAACTATTTTTTTAAACTGTATCATAACTTTTGTTGTTTCTATTTGACAGATTAACAGCAGATAGAAAAGGTGACACACTCTGGCTCCCCAAGCATTTTTCTTCTTAATAAATCTGAAAGAATATTTAGTGATCCTGTTTTTATTTTACTGCTGGTGTTGCTTCTCTCATATTCTCTTAGCTGTCTCTGTAACCCAGTCATCTGCCTCCACCAATCACTTCTGCTGTTTCTTTTTGTTATTCAAGCCTTTCTTTAAATGTGTGTTCTTCTTATTGTGTCACTACCATCATTCCACGCAGATAAACCTTAAAATCCATAGCATATCAATAAACTTCAACTTCTTCTATTCACATCATAAAATAGAATAAATTTTCAACTTCTCAGGATTCATTCTTACATCATATTTCTAGAATATCCAGGAAATTTCACTCCATAAGAATACATGTGAATAAAATTGTCGTGCCAACCACAGAACTGGAGAATGCTGCACTTTTCTTATTATATATATCTTGTTTACGAAAAGTGTCCTTCATAATTTGCATTTAAGAAGAGAGTAATCACAGGTTCTTGTATTGAACTGCCTTGGTAGGCTCTAAAATAATTATGATTGGTTTAATTATTACTTGAGAAATCAGATTTCTAGTGATCACATCAGAATACATGTCTTTCTAGCACTGCTAATGGGTGGGGAAGAAAATGACACAACAGTACAATGTTAGCAGGTATGTATTTACACACACCATACAGTCCTGTTAAATAACATCAGCTTATCCTCAATGACTGATGATCTAGGAAGTGTTTTTAAATGTATTGTTGTGCTCTGTGGTTTTAAATGTGTTATAGTATTGTTTTTATTTACTGCTTTTAATATATTTGTTTAATACTTTAAAAAATATTTGTATACTTACTGTTTTTAGCTTTTGAATACTATCCCTTTTAATGATGCAAGCCACCTTGAGTCCTTTTTAAGGACAAAGATGGGATAAAATATTTAAAATAATAATAATAAATAAACAAACATATCCATCACATATATAAAAAGGAATTGTGAGAATGAAATTAATGTGTACTTTTGGATGGTACAAAGTCTAAGCAACACTCAGAGTAAAGGGACACACACACACATGCACATAAGTGATAATGAAAAAAACTTCCTAGCTGTTCTTTGCATCATCAGGTAAGCACTCATTAATGCCAGTGAAGGCTTCCCTTTTGATGGAAACAGCAACATCAGGAGTTGGAATTTGAGCATTACCTGAAATGTTTGAGATAAATGGGAGTCATAAAATGAGGATACCTTATATAGGTTTGGAAGAATGTGGACATTACAGCACTATGAGGAGAGAAGACAGGAGAAGTTTGACTATTGTCACAGTATTTTTTATTTATGATCCCTTTCTTAGATTAAACACAAACTCTATGTAAGTAGCTTCCTTATCCTATCTGCAGTAAACAATATTAAACATTAAATGGTTGCTGTTGCCACTTGGACTGTTGTGGCCCTTGCCAACTTGGTTTAGGTATAATTCCTATATGCTTGTGTTGGAGGAATGAATCCTCCTAGTGAATTCATGTATATGTAACTGAATTGATATTTTATTCTCAGGTTTTGAAGGTTCCACATGTGGAGCTGATTCTTCTATATATTGGACTTCCAACCCAGTTGAGGAACATGTACTGGATTTGATCTGAATGTGGATTCAAGGCTACACTTACACTTTGCACTTCTACTAGCAACTTCTGTATTGGTGCTGTTGCCTAGGACTTGGGTGCACAAAATGTAGCATTTTCTTATTGTTATAATGGCTCATTTTGTCTATTATATATAGTTACTGTGGATAAGAAAATACTCACTTTGTGAAATTGTGTTTGCAAGGTTCATCAATAGTTATCTAAATAAGCAAATCGCCCCATAGAACTTAAAAGTATTACACTTTGCCCATATATCTTAGTGATAACATGTGAATAAAATTAAGGAGACACAAAGAAGCAGGTAGGAAATTAGGTTTTGCTTATAACTATAAAAACAATTATTCTGATTCAATACTAGGGAATATTTTCAGAGTATCTCTTAACAGTAGCAAAATATTAAATGTTTTTCCATCACTTGAGCATTAATTATGTATAATGCACATAAAATAAGATAAAAACATTTTTTGCAAATTGATTATTATTGAATCTCAGTATTTTACACTAGGCAAAAAAATTAAGCTCATGTAGATGTGCAAAACTGGGACTGGACCCTAACTTTCTGGAGAGCTTTTAGAGGTATGGAGAGGAGGAGAGCCTGAAGAGAAAGAAAGAGAACGTTCAGTTGTGCAAGCTTCAGACTGTTCATACAGCCCATGGACATAACTTTATGAACAACAGATCTTGTAACTGACACATAATATTATATGAATAAAAAATATCTTTCTTATGGTGGAAGGACAACAAAGAAGCAGAATTCCAGAGTCTGACAAGAGCTACTGAAAAACTCAAGAAATGGGTTTTTAGTCCTAATAATACTCTCACTTAGATCAGGGGAATTGTATTACTGCATGGGTTTTACTCAGCTACAACAAAACCAATCAATCATCTATTCTCATTATGTCACTTCAGCTTTTGACCTGACAGAAATTAAAACAAGTGCTATGATACAGATCTCTCTCTTTATACTAAATCACTTATACCACTGTCTTCTTATTTATCACAGAACACAGCTAAAAATTAAAAT